CGGATTACGCAATTGCCGATCAGCTTCTAAGGCTTCATCGTTTTGGTGATCGTGCCGTTCGCCCACCGTTTTCGACGGATGACTTCCAGCTGTATCTTCGTTACACGCGCTCTCTCACACCACGTTTGAAGGAAGAGTCTGTACAGCTCATCGTTGCGGCATATAGAGACATGCGTCTGCAGGATTCTTTGTCAAACCGCAGCAAAGTGTACCGCGTCACAACACGTCTTTTGGAGAGTATCATTCGTCTTTCCGAGGCAGTGGCGAAGCTCTACATGAGTGAGGATGTGAAGCCAGCCCATGTGGAGGTGGCGTTGGAACTCATGCGCCAATCCCTTTCGACACTTGACATGACTGAAGTGGAGCTTGTCGGCATTTCAGACCCTTTTGAAGTTGCATCCGAGGGCGTTAAAGCGGAGCCACTGGATCAACAGCAACGACAGCAGGAGCAGCAACAACAGCAAGACGTGCCACAGGCAACAGCGGGTGAGCAGTCAATGACGGCCAGGCGGAAAAGGGGAAAGGCGGCGGCCGTTGTATCCGCACCAGCACCTGCCCCTCGGAAGACGGTTATCAGTGCTGATCATTACTTTGGTATTGTTAACCGCATCGTTGCAAGACTGCAATCACTAGGGGAATCCAATCCACCATCCCGTGCGGAACTGGTGACGTGGTACATGGAGCAGGTGCGCTCCCTTAATAAATCACAGCTGGAAGTGGAGTTGCGTTACGTGAACCTCGTCATTCAAAAGATGCTGAAGGATGGAAATTTGCTGGAGGTGGAGGTGCACGAGGGGGAAGGAGAGAAGATGTTCATTGACCCCAACTACAACCCCGACGTCACAAAACAATAAAGGCTCAATATATCTGAGAGAATATGTATTTTTCTCTCTCTTTTTTTCTGCGTGTGTATGTGTGTGTATACATGACGCATGTTGCTTTCCATAGAAGTGCGTTATAGATGTTAACCACGGAGGGGTGAATGCAGCAAAAGGAAAAAACACCAACAACGGGAGTAGCGGTCTCAAGTGCGATGAAAAGGGACGCGGAAAGAGGGGGCCTGTCCTTGCGTTATGTGCCAAAAAGAAAGAAACAAACAAAATGGTTGTTTAATATATATATATATATATTTAAGAGGAGGGTTCGTCAATGCAATGGCGTCTCTGTGTGTGTGTGGTGCCCTTTCCCCCACATATTTTTATTATTCTTTTTTTTTTTAAAGCATTTAACAACCGTATTGGGGATGATTTACTCTCAGAAAACTCAGGATGACTCGGAAGTTGTGGTGCCTGCGGCTGGCGAGACATTTGTAGCCGAGGACGGAACCGTTTCTGTTGTTCTCGCAGACACCGTTGATGACGACTATGAGCCCACGCAGGATGAGATTGAGGACTTTGCCGAGTGGATGGGAATGCAGCTGCCAGAAGACAAGGAATTTTTATATATAGCGCGTGAGGGGCTGAAGGCACCGTTGCCGAAGAACTGGAGGCCATGCCGCACAAACGAGGATGATATTTACTACTTCAACTTTAGGACGGGCGAAAGCACGTGGAATCACCCGATGGATGACTTTTTTCGCCAGAAGTTTCTCAAAATGAAGGAGGAAAAAAAGAGCTCGACTGTTACCACGCCCGTGGTAACAAAGCATGCTGCTGTTCCTACAAGCACCACGGGTGGTGTTCCGACTCTGGGGAGTACCGGTGGCGGTGGCGGCCCGGTTTCCATCCTGAAGAAATCCCCGTCGGATCTGATTGGAGGCATGCCAGGCACCGCGACGCATGCTTTCGTCCCTGCATTGGGCGCCTCACGGTCAATGGTGGGCAGCAGCACGACTTCTGTACGAGACCCGTGT